CATCACACCTAATTATTAGTATGATGGTGCCATATATCACACCCAATGGGCAAATCAGATCAGAACTTAACATAATTTCTTTTTTAGTGGCTCATACTATCTTTCTTTCTTGTTCATATCAAAATCACAGCCATGGCTGAGGATGGTGCATATACAGCTGCCTTTAACGAAAAATTTCGAGAAGAGTTTGTCAAGTGTGTTGATGTAATGGACTTCATTGTGGCTTTAGGAAACACACTTACAAGTAGTGATGAGGAAAAAATAAAAGCCGTTTATAAAACAGAGGGCAACACATCAGCTGCCGTGTGTCTCTGTGAAAGGTTGTTTCGTAGACCAGACTGGAAAGACAATATTGTGAAGGCGCTTAGGTCAGATGAAATAAAGCAAGTTGACCTGGCAAACAGGATGAAAAAAGAATTCAAAGCAATCAAGTCTAGTTACGGTATGTATTTGGTTACCGGTAGATCTAATACAGTAAATAGTGCAGGATTTTACCCTTTCCAATCTGCCCCATTACCATTGCCTGAGGCTGTACCAAAGCTGGGAAATTACATCATCTACACTAAATGTCGGGTTTTTACTGGGCGCAGGCATTTTATTTGGTCTGAATACAGGAGGCCCTCTACAGAAATACTCCTACATCACTCAAAAAATCCTATAGAGGGTAGCCTAGCTATAAAATAATTACCATGAAAACTATACAGGGTGTACGTACGACACCCCTCACTATAAAGTATGGTCAAAAAGGGCGTTGTCGCGACGCCATACGACTGGAAAGGGTTAAAATGCAACCTATGCTAGTTTGATCAGTGAAGGACGAGAATAACCTATTTTAAATTAATGTCATTCAATTAGGAAGCTTGGAATGAACTATATAGTAATTTTATTATTCCTTTTTAGTATAGTTTATTTTTTAGTAAATTTTATTGTTATTAATATTATTATCACAAGTGTTATCATTATTTTTAATGTAATTTATTATTAAAATATAAAAATGTTTTTTTTTATTTTGTTATTGCTAGTACAGTACTGTTCGTGGGCCCCCTAATTTTGTTTGCACTTATTGTTCCTTTGTGCACTAATTTTCCAATAGTGCATAGAAAATTGCTATCTTATTTGGTTATACTTGTAAAAATTTAACAATGATATTTGCAATTATTATTGTTATTATGCCTGTTTATAATGAGTCTCACATCCTTTTACTGTCTGCTACACATTTACATTTGGATATTACAACCACTAAAAATGACAAATAGATGTAGTCACACCAATGTAACACACAGGCAGTGAGATGCTAATTTTTGATGTGTGCAAATGTGGTATAAATAGCGAAATACAATTGGGTTTTATTTTTAAAAATTTTTATTCAAGAAAGCATCAATTTATCGCCGAACTCATCATCTCATGCAGATGCTTCCAACTTAAATGTCGACCAGAACATGCAGTTGCCACAAACACCACAGGGCACTCCGCGTACGTATTCTTTAATTTATCTTTAGCTTGAAAATAAGAAGTATCAAAATCCCTGCCCAGACATTATTTGACAAAAACATGTGACATGCCTAAATATGGTGATGATGGCATCACATCATGACCATATATAGCCACATCATAACTATATATGGGAATATTCAGTTTTTGTCAAAGAAAATTTGATAGAGTAGACAAAGCTAAAGGCCATGTTAGCATTGGACTAATTTTGGTCAAACTAAGTACATGGATTATGTTGGGGAACTGATGGCAACTTAAGGCTGTCGTAATATGGTTAAGGCTAGCCTAGGTAGCGGCTGAATCATGAGGGAACAACAATTTTGGTTTATCTCCAAAATCCTTTTCAACAAAATTATAATTATAATTTTTACATCTAAATTTTACTTGTATTTAAAACAGAGTATATCCATTCCTCTCACCAGATATAAATATAAATTTAAGTTTTTACCAAGGAGCAAGACCAAAGGAAAACCAACTGGTTTTTGGCTACACATCACCAACTTCAGCTAATTCAGCAGTGTTTGGAGGTAGTAGACTTGCAACTAATTTTTCTAATGCGGTAACAGCATTTCCAGAGAAAGATATGTAAGTTGAGGCATTGGAAAACAGTGTACATGAGAAAATAACAATTTTTACTTGATTCTTGGATTCTGTCACCATTTCCTTATCTGCCATGTGTTGCTATTGATTTTTGATTTCCCTGCAATAATGGTTTAGATTTTTTTTGCTTGTTCGGATTTTTTATTGATGTTTTATTTGAATATTTTGTTTTAATGAATTACCATCTTCAAGGATCCTACACTCCTCGACTATGGGTGACGCCATAAATTTCTCTATCAATTAAAAATAAAATAAACTTCTGTGCTTAACAAACAGTCCTCAAAAACTCACTGTTCATTTGTTTGGTTCATTTGGGAGTAAGCATGCATGACCATTGTTTCAGAAACTATTTTTTTAAATATTGTAATGAAATTTGCAATTTTGACTGCAAAATATGCGCTATGTAACATTCACTGGTTAATTTGTTTCTTGAAATCAATTGTCCCTTTGACCCTAGCAAAAGTTGTTCAATAGATATGTGCATTTAATTTTCTTTCAGGAACATTATTCCACTAAAAAAGTATGAAGAGCAGCTTGTTGCAGATGCTCTAGATGGTAAACAGAAGAATGTTCTGATAATTGTTCCAAATGGAGATGAAACTAGAAGCAGGATTCCAGCCCATATCTGTACAACCCATCTGCAGAACCCAGGAGAAGATTGTGTGAAGAAGCCTAAAGCCGTCTGTCTTACAACAACCAACACGAATTGGTTTGGCAGTCTTCGGAGCACCATCAAGATTGAAAGTATTCTTGATGACCAGAAGAATATAACAGCAGAATGTCTGAAAGATAATGATGTCATACTCTCAACTCCTGAGATTTTCAAAAAAGCTCTGAACTCAAAAGCATTAACCTTCAAAGACCTCACTCTACTGATCCTAGATGATTGCCACTTGAGTAGCCAGACTCATCATCCGTACCGTTCCATTATGGAATCATACCTTAAGGAAAAATTAGCAGCTAATTCAGCTATGACACAAGTATGAAATATATTCCATATACAGTATATTTTTCATCCTTTTAATTATATTTGTTATCAATCATACCACCATCATTTTACCTTCAACAAAATTTTTCTCCTGCTTCCTGTACCACAATACTGACAAAATATGGAAACATTGTATCATTTGCTCTCCAATGTTGCCTTAACCATTGGAGAAAACTGGATTTTTTTTCACAAAAGTACATATTTGGTACAAAATCTATGATTTTCTTGTAATGGCCCAAGCGGATTACATTGTAAAAAATATTAATCTACCAATTCGTGAAGAAAAAATGAAAAAAATCCCTACGGTTTTGTCGGAAAATTCCGATTTATAACAGCACGCCGATTCAGATAGGGAATTTCAAGAAATTTGAGGTTTTTGGCTGTTCCGAGCTCGTTTCTTATTCCCTCTTTGTTCGAGTTGGCCCAAGGGGATTCATGGAGGGAATATAATAAGCTTGAAGCTGATATAAAACTTAGTATGATTGGTTGGGTAGTTTTATCGGAAAATAAGAAAATGTAAAAACCATCAAATCCACGATTGGCTTTCATGGGGGTCAAAAAATCTCTTAAGCGTGATAGTCCGATTTAATGGTATGACATCATACTTCTGTTTGCTTGACTTGTTCGCAGTGTATGACTTCTTTCTTTGTGTAATTTGGCCTAATTTAGTTATCAGTTGCATTTTTTGTGTGCCTTTATTACCTTTATTTTAAAAAAATCCTAAGACAAGATACTTTGCAGCAATTAGGTTATATTTCTGCAAAAAAAAAAAAATGCAATTTATACTCTGGACCATTTGAAAATTTCCGTAGGGGTGTAGCGTAGGGCTAAGCCAATCCCGCCAACACGTAAGCGTGGACTAGGGCAAGAGAGATCTCAACATTTGTTTACTTTACATTGTACTATGTGTATTGTATTATATATAAGTTTTAACAAAAGAATATTTACTGTGCAAATTAAATTTTGTTAGTATTTTAACCCCTTTATGAAAATGAAACAAACCCAATGTTTTTAATTGGTCAATCCCTAACTACCTGTACAGCAGTTCGCTGCTTTCATGATAGCTGAACTAGCAAATGATAAAAAGTGGCAAAAGCATTTCCATATGTTGCTATAACTTCTTGGCCCAGCTGCTGGATTCTTGATTTGTGTGTTGTTTACGTAACTGCAGTACTACTACCTAGTAATTCATTCCTAAAGTGGCTTTCAGAAAAGATGAACAACAAAGAAAATTAGTCTCATGGCTGAGGGATTTCATTCATCCTTGGATGCTCTGAAAAAAAAGTAGAATCAAAGTATTTAAGGCATTTAAAATAAGAAATTAGGCCTGACTAGCCTAAACTTCATTTCGCATTTGGTGAAGAATATAGTTTATAGTATATTTTTCCATCCTTTTACTAATTACTGTATACGAATATAGTTTACAGTATTTAACAATGCTTGTGTGAGCTGAATCTGTTATGAACCCAAAGCTGAACATTTGCCACCCCCAATACAAATAGAGAAATATGCAATGAAAAACCTAAAATTAGTAGGACTAAAAGCAGTTAAGTAATTTTGGCACTGATTGTAAATAATGACCCTTTGAGCTATTACTTCTTTCGAAAATAACCCATGGGCCTTCAGGCAAATTTTAGGTTGTATTGACTCCTTCTTCATGTCACTGGTTTTCTTTTAAAAAATACAGTAATTGCTTATTATGATTTGTTTCCCAACCAAAGAATTATGGTGCTATTAGACACTGTGTATCAAGTTTACGGAATATTTTTATGTCATACACAGGTAGTTGGCTTGACAACTAGGGAAAGCTTACAAAATCAGGGAGATATGAAAGAAGCTGCAGATAATCTGAGCAACTTAATGGGTGCCCTTGATGCTATGTGCATTTCAGCTGTAACAGAAGAGTCCACAAAAGAGGAGTTGTACAAACAAATCTATCCAAAAATCTCAAATTCTTCCGTTGTTGGAAGACGCCAAGATAATACATTTTGCAGTGTAATTAGTGAGATGATGTCGAAAATTGAGCAAAAACTGGATATGAATACTGAACCGTCACAGCGCTATTCTGAGGAGTATGGGAATCGCATCTTAGAATTGAGCAAACAGGAGGAGGAAAAACAGGACAAGAAAATTGAAAATGAAAGATCTGTTCTTTTGAAACATTTATCCATCTATAATGAAGGTAAATATTGACATTTAAGATATTTTATGGTTTCATTCCATTTCTTGGGGGGTTCCTTTTAAGAAGCATTGCTTTTAAGCACTTTATAAGACTAACAGTATTATTATTATTATTATTATTATTATTATTATTATTATTATTATTATTATTATTATTATTATTGTTATTATTATTATTATTATTATTATTATTATTATTATTATTATTATTATAATTATTATTACATTAAAAAAAAGTTTTATGACCATCACATTCACATAGTAGTATTGACTGATAATGCATTATTGATTCAGCTAGTATTTTCTTAACTAGTTTTACAGATGAATGAAAAAATGAGGACCAAGGATGCTTTTGCCTTGTTGAAAATATTCTACAGAGAACATGGTGATGACAATGAATGGCTTGACGATCTCTATCAAGGTAAGTTCAGAATCTAGTTAGTCAAACTAAAATCCATGTTACTTTGGAAGGAAATTTTGTAATAAAATTGTTTTCCTTAACCTATCTACCTTTCTTAATTTCTAAACATTGCCTAATCTATATTTTGTATAACATTTTCTATGGTAAATATTTTCCATTTTTATTAAATTTAATTATCTAACTGAAAGTTTGTTTTCAACAGATTAGAATAATTTAAACAGGAGTATAACCTAATATTTTCAGAGAATTTTTGTTTTGCAATATCTGATTTCTTAATTTAAATTCAGTAATAAAAGTTTTCTTGTCATCAACTCATTGATTTTGCCATATGTACATATTCTGCCCAACATTGCTCATTTCTTTTAACGTTTCTAAGTTGGTATTGATAACATAAACATAGCTATTTTCATCCATTTTAAACTTTTGTAACCATTTAAATAAACAATCGCTAACTTCAATAATGCTTTTTCACATTTAATTTTTACTTTGTAACTCATTGACAAAATTTGATGTTTAGTGCTCACGAGCACAGAGGTGATTATAATGGAATACTAAGGGCATCTCTGCGACACCCCTTACTGAAATTCTAGTCCACAATACATCCATAGTCAAGGCCCGCATGAAGTGGTCTGGCTGTGGTCCAATTTCGGCAGGGCTAATATCGTATATTACAATCAATATCGTTTTGTATTCCAAATTGTTCTTTGATGCAACATCATTTTAATATTTTTGTTTTTTGATGAAATTACAGTATGGCCTATCTTAAACATACCTCCGTGCTTCAAGCCCACGATCCACGACCACACCCACGCGGAAAAGATTGAAATCAAGAATATTAATTATTTGGAGATGTACGCTATGCAGTTAGAACACAAATTACATTTATCAAGTCTGTACATTGATAAAATATTTTTTTAATTGCTCACAGAACACTCAAGTGAACTTCATAAGCTATCTAGAGAAGGAGATGGCAAGTATGAAAATCCTAGACTTGCTCATTTGAAGAGGGAAATTTTGAAAAAGAGTGGTGGTGATTTTAAGGGTTTGTACTTATTTAATGTTATGTATCTGCCTAGTATACATTGCTGTCTTTGAATGGAAGTTTTCAACAAGAAAAAGATGGAAGTGTAGTATATAAGCAGTTAATTATATGTGTGTCTTCCAATAAATCTAAGAAAGTTTTTACGACTGAAAACAATTTCACTTCCCAAGATTGAGTAAGGTGAAATTTTGGGAATTTTATTGTTGGTCATGATGAGCAAAACAATAATTTAGCTAAATATAATCTGCACCTTGAAGTGGTGTGGAGTTTTATACCTTAGTGGTTAAGATACTTGCCTTCTAATCCCAGGGCCCAGAGTTAAATTCCTGTGAGAGAATGACTAACGACAAACTCCATTTTTAAGCCTCATAAGGAGACTTAAGCCACTTTCAGACAACTTGTTACCGCAGTATTCTCTGCATTGACTCCTGTATGAAAAGCTCAGAACAAAACTGTTACTGCAATTTTGAGTTTGCGCGGCATTCCTAGTAATATTACCTCAATATAAATGAAAGTAGGTCTCATTCCCATAATATTACTTTATTCAGTCTAATTAAATAAGGCAATAGAACAGAGCTTTTTTTAAACAGGAATTTTTTGTGTGTGTTTTCAGCAATAATTGTCAGTGAGCACCGCCAGGTTCGGGAAGCTCTTTACGATTGGTTGAAGAAAAGTCCTGATTTCAAGAATCTAACAACCAAATCATTGAGTATCACTGACAAATCAAGTGAAATAGAGAGCTTCAATGCTGAACAAAGACTGCTACTCTTGTCATCTACTGAATTAAAAGATGCGAAACTGACTGGTGTGAAAATGGCAGTAATCTTCAGCTCCACCAAGGACGGGATCCATATCTTCCAATCAGAAGACGATGCCACTAAAGAACTGCTTGATCTGGTGGCAGAGTTACAGTTCAATGAAGTAGTAAAAAGTCTTCAGGACTTACCTGAGTCTGTAAAGGAAAAAAGCAATCTAAACAAGAAGCTTGAGATATTGGGAGTAAATAGAGAGGTCAAAGAACAAAACGTATCTAAAATTAATCCATCGGAGAAAGCTGTGAAAGAGGTAACAGATAAATGTTATTCATTTGATACAAATGTCAGAGGTCAAACAAGTGAGGAGGTAAAATCTTCAACAGCCAGCAGTGTGAATATCGAAAGCAAAGTGTTTACGGAGAAAGAAAAGACGTGTTCCTCAGTCAGTGCGAGTAGTAAAGCAATCGAGAAGGGAAGTACAAAACATATACCAAGCAAGAGTTACAAAGTTGATATGAATGCCAGTAGTCAAGGTAAAAAAGTTGAAAATCCAAGTCGGTTATCAAAGTATGAGCTTTACTGCCGAGGGGGCACAGGTGATGGAAAATGTAATGTTTTTGTTTGCTCACTCAGCGAAATTCGCTTATTGTGGGAATCAAATCATGTATACAATGAGTTCTATTGGAATTGGAGTAAAATCAATGTTAAAGTTCACCATGATGAAAAGAAAAAAAAGTATAATACAAAGAAGATCTACTGCGAAGCATGTGGTGCCGATTGGGGCAACACTTTCAAACGCTACCCTTGCTTGAAACTAAAAAACTTTATTGTCAGGTTTCCTAATGGGGAGCGGAAGGCTTTCTCACAGTGGAAATTACTTGATGTTTCAATTCCACCAATAGAGAACCAGTAGGAATATAGATGGTTGGCACTTTTTGGGCTCATATCTCAGTGTTCCATTTCATTTCTATCCTTTGGCAAGATACTTTATCTTCTCACAGGCCATCTCAGAGATTCTATGCATAATATCAAAATATGAGTAAAAATCCAGATTATCAAATTTTTTTTGACAAAAAACTGTTGTATGCCAATATATAGTCATGATGTGCCTATATATGGTCATGGTATGATGTCATCATTACCATATTTAGGCATGTCACATGTTTTTGTCAAATACAATTAGATAGTCTGGACAGAGCTCAAGTCAATTCAAATTTCAGTTGTTCAATTCACAGAATACTTTATTTTCATATTTATAATCAAGATTATTAGTTTACATATTAAGTGTGTGCATGAGTTTTAATATTTAGTTAGAGAATTCTATAAATCTGTGGATCACATAGTTAAATATTCTTTTATCTTGGTAAGTATTTGATTATTGATTTTACTATGTGTACATTGAAGTAAATATCTTATTTTTTTGGATTTTTTTTTTCCATTTAATTAAATAAATTGGATTCCATTTACTATAGTTTTAAGTAAAAAAAGAAATTTATGTCCTGTAATTAGGTAAATAATTTTGATGGGTCTATGTAGTACAGTACAGTACTTAAATAGTATCATTGCTACTTTATTAACCATCAATAGTGGATTCAGGAATTTGGAATAGAGAGGGCTTAGGGAGCGACTTTCACAGATTGAGGGTCTGTATCACTTTAGCCCCACCATGGTTGGGGCTGAGGCAAGAAAATTTATGATTATGGCACCTGGCTGGAAATGGCATCCTCAGACTTAAAATTTGAATATAATTTTTTTTTTTTCTTTCTCCGTTTTTTTTTAAACTTTGAAAAGTTTAGTGGGGGAGCTGGCCAGCTGCTACCCTCCCCCCTGAATCAATCACTGATCATATGGAGGAAATATGATCATATTTAATTGTATTTACATACCATTTTGAAGGTAATGGGTAGAAAAAATAAGATAAGATTTGTCAACAAAAAATAATTAATGATAGGCCTATAGTTAGTGCAATTGCCAACATATTAGTAGTACAATATGTAAAGAAGGTCACAGCAAAATAAAATATAAAAAAAAAATTAATAAATAAAATAAGTTTCACATTACGGTGTATTAATTTTAGCATTAAGCTGTAAGTAATTCATCGATGTATAACACAAACTGCCTGTCTTTCTTAGTCAGTGTCAAAATGGTACAGTAGTATATTTTTACTGTTTTTATCCCAAAAAATCTTTTTTAAATATTAAAATGTGTATGTTCTAAATGCCCAAATGATGTACATTTTTCGAAATTTTCTTTAAAAATGCATTGACATTTTTATTAGTTTTTAAAAAATCTAATGACATATTTGAAATACTGATTTCAATTAAATTTATGGGCTCATGATATTAAAGAATATGTGATAGGAAAGGATGCTTTACATACCAATCTAAATAGAATCAGGTTGTGGCATTTGGATAGTGACCCAGTCTGAATTTTAAGACTTGCTTTTCTTTTTGTATTTGTATTCTGAACGTTTTATTCAAAGAATGAATATCATGCTCTGTCGAGACTACAAAGACATATGTCAACCAATGACACAGATGTAAGCCAACATCTTCACTAATATGTTTTCAATACAGAATTTCTTTTTGCGATTACTGTGATATTTTACTGAATAAATAATGATTATTGATTTTAAAATTGTATTTGATGTTTTGTATACAAAGTGTTTGTTCAGGAAAGAAATGGGTTTTTGTATAGTTCTGTTTATATTTTGGACTATCACTGTCTGGAATACATTAGTTAGGGAAATACGAAAAATGCAGTAAAATGAATTAAGTGCGTTGTTTTTCATATTTAAAGTTTAATACAGAGAAAACCAAAAATGCCAAAAAACAACTTAAAGAATAAATTGTAAGCTAGGTTCATTAAATACTATGCAAGGTTTAGGCGAGACATTTTTATACCTTGTTCCCAAACTTATTTTTTTAAAGATCGTCAGAAGAAGGCGGAAAAAAATATGTTGTTTTCTTATTTAGCAAATAGTTTTGCCAAAAACATTCAGATGGAGGAGAAAATAAAAATAAAATGTTATTGGGGAATGTAAACAGTGTAGTAATGGGATGGTTAAATGCTTTAAATTTATATAATTAGGAAGAAATATACATATCTTATTTTTGGAGATTTCAAGGCAGCAGCGGGCATAATTAAAAAAAAAACTTATTTTTATCTTAAATATCCGTTTTCTCATGGCAGTGTGGGTGTGCTTATTGGCCAAAAATAAAATTTCATTTTTATTTGGAATTATCATTATTGACGGGTGGCGAGTTCGCTGAACAACGCATAAAAAAAGTACTTGCCTTACAATGTACTTGTTTTAGCAAGAGGGCGTCCTAGAAATTACAGAAATTCCACGCGAATCTTTAATTTTTAAGATCTTTGAAACAAAGTTACTTTCATTGATAGGGGGGAACTTCAAAATATAGAGTATTTAGATTACTATTGTTTATTTCCATATAAATAATATTTTCTTCATGGTTAAACATACAGTAGTACAATAATATTTTTATTGATACAAAATAACAGTATTTGCATGTCTCTAAAAAAATTTAAAATATATTATAATTTATACAAATGATAAAGAACGAAACATGTAAGCAACAGGGCAGCATTCAAAGAAATCCCAACATCAACACTTTAATTTATTTGTCAATCCTTAGTTTTTTAGATGCATTGTCCTCTGGAAATAACAAAAATAGAATTATAGCAAATAATTTTGAAAGTAACTTGTTCATTTTATTAATACAGTAACATACAAATTATTAATTTAAGCATAGGAATTATTGAATTTTAAAAAATATGTACCCAGGATTTTATACTGGATAATAATAATAATAAAAATAATAAAAAACTTCCAGTGACTGGAAGTGTTTCTATAACTTATGATGTTTTGCTGTACAGTTTTTTAAATACACTAAATTTCAATGTTTAAGTTGATTTTTATGTTAGTTTAAAATGAGCAAATTAATGATTTTAATGGGTTTTTTTTTGGTAAAGTATTTTGCGTGGTATCTCCATTTCTGAAACCATTGAATATAAACGGATTCTACTTTGAGTGATTGCTACTTGGGCGGATGTCACTTCGAGTGGATGCCATTTCAAGCGAAAAGAAAAAACATGTTTGAGATTGAGCGAATTCCTATTTTGACCGAACAGATTGAATTTGATACATCTTAGCTGTTTTCTACTGAAAGCTGGTTATTTGCTATAATAGCCTCTTTTTTGCTGATTGTTTAGACTTATTTGGCACTGGCGTATCCAGGGTTGGATGGGGGAGGGATTGGATCCCCAATTTCCCCACCATCATTCCCCCTCCCCCGCATCAGCTACCCATTTCAAGACTCCTAGATACACCACTGATATTTGGACCAATTAAATGAAATAAAAATTTGACGTAATATTTTGTATCTATTAACTGGTATTTAAAGTCTCTGCATTCTACCCATCTGCAATTACAGTTGTGAAATAATGCTGTTGATATAGTCCTACGGTCGGTCGGCAACCTTTTACTCCTTAAGACCCAGAATGTATTGATGTAGCTTCCCACGACCCAAGACCCCCAGTTATCATAGAGGTTTCGAAAAAAGATACAAAATACCGGTATACAGCCAATTTAATACAGTAGAGCCCCTATAATGGGATACCCCTATTCAGGGATACCTCTATTAAGGGGACACTCAGTTTTCAGTGAAACGAGGAGAATTATATATTTTACCAATACCGCCAACCCTATGGAACACCCCATTAATGAGACGGGGAAAATTTCTTGGTGTGCCAAACGGTCAAATCAATACATACAGTATTCAACCCCTATTTAGGGGACACTTATTTTTTTCATTGACAAAAGCTACAGCAGTTTCAAAATAAAGGAAAAGATCGTTCCACTTTATACTGTATTTTGACACCTTTTGAGCAAAAACTTTCGCATCAATCCAGACTTCTTTTTCCCTGAATCCTTAGTGTTACCCATGATTTACAAAATACATTTACAACAACTGCAGTTACAATTACAATACAGTTTAAATTCAACCAAAGTTAGGCTACAATTAGGGCCTATACAATCATAATTATAATTTACTTTTTTTTTACTAAAAATCACGAAATTGCAACAAAACAGTGAATTCAGAATGAAACCAGGGGCGGATACAGAGATGTCCAAAAGAGGGGCTGGGGGAGAAGTGGGGCTGAGACAAACACTGGGGTCCGCGGGGTTATGCCCTGCGAAATTTTTATTTTCTAGACGCCCGAAAATAACCTCTAAGGCGTTTTGGGCGATTTTTTCTTTTTCTTCCTTTCTTTTTTTTTAGGAAGTGGATATATTTACGTCGCCGTAAACAAATTTGGAAACGATACGGTATATCTACGTGAAATAAATAACGCATGCGCAGTCATACTTTAATAAACTTCATCGATCACTCGATCTAAATTAGCGTCGGCCCAAGCCCGGGTGCGCAAGCCTACAACGGCACAGATTTCTTTAAATGCATAATTTTGTTTTTATTAAACTTATTTTCCTACATAGTATGTAGTTTAATCATTAAATATATTATTAAATCATTGTGTTAACTTTTCAAATAAAAGTGATATTATCAGCTGGAAATATTTTTGTTCTTGTCATTTTGATCATGTTGGATGAACACACTTGACAAAGTACAATGTTACTAGGCCTACGCCAAAACATGAAGGTTCCCTGCCAAAACTAGCACTCAATTACCTCAAAATCAAAACGATATTCTCCAGGCCTAAAGGCCTGTTTACACTTCAACGATAACGATAACGATAAAAATGCTAAAAAGCGTTTGTTCATATAGAAAACAAAAGAAATAAGAGAAGTTTTTACACTAGAAGACGATTCTATAACGATTTATCGTGTATGCAATAACAAATTATTTTAACAAATCAAATCAGATGTCATAATCATGGACAAACGATAAAAACGTTGCTACTACGACGATTTTAATGTTTTTTCCATGATTATGACATCATCTGATTTGATTTGTCAAAATATGTTGTTATCGCATACCAACTGATAAATCGTTATCGAATCGTTCTAGTGTAAAAACTTATTTCTTTTATTTTCTATATGAACAATTGCTTTTTAGCTTTTTTTTTTTTGTCGTTATCGTTATCGTTGAAGTATAAACAGGCCTTAAACCTGTATTGTTGTACGATAATCAATCATCACAAAAGTAAATAACATTTTAATGTTTTCATTCAAACACATTTACCAACGTCGTCACTAAAAAAAAACAGCATTGTTTACATTCTTTGGTTAGGTCGTCGAGCCCCGATCGAGTGAGAACATCCGAGAAAGACCAAATTTTACCAAAAAAAAATGTTTGGTCAAATTAATGTTATTTAACATGACTAAACACTTACACGTTTGGGGGATTTGATTTACGTATGGCTACCATGGATTCATGGATTCATGGAAACTTGCCAACAAACGGGCTTTGGCAGATCAGTGCCGTGTATGGAAGGCAAACGCCGCCAAAAATACAATTACAAACACACAACGTACTAGCACAAACACACAACGTGTTAGCACAAACACGCAACGTACTAACTCAAACACACAACGTAGGCCAACACCGCC